TTTATATGAAATTGTAGAATAGACAAAAGTAATCTATTATGAGTGAAAACATACCATTAATTGCCAAGGACTGTTTTGGGGAAAGCTGTTGATTGCAAAGGGGCATGAGGAAAATTTTTTAGGGGTGATGGAAATATTCTATATTTTGGCCGAGGTGGTGGTTACTTAAATGATGCATTCATCAAAAGTTTTTGAATGTACTCCTAAAATGGTACTTTTTTTGTATTTATATTATATGTTGGTAAAAATTGTTGTTGTTGTTATGTGCTGTCAAGTTGGACTTGACTCATAGGTAAAAATTATACTATCTAAAAGGAATTATACTAGTAAAAAAAAAACCACATTCTGGCCATGATATGTGTTTCCCTTTCTGTGTATCTCAAATCTGACTGTTACCACCCCATAGAAATATCAGTATGTCTACCTGGAAATGGGATTGTGAATAGTCCTTTCACAGGACAGTGAGAAGATGGTGGGCAGAGTTCACATAAATGTGAGTGTGGCTTTTGGTTCTATTCTGATAGTCAAAAGGTACCGTTCAGGCCAGATAATTCCTTTTCAGATTGAGGGACTGACTATGGGTGGCTAGGAAGATCCAGTGGGCTCATCAGAGCCACCCCTAAACTGGCAAAGGCATTCATTCACACAACTGGGACAATCATTTTCTTTCCCAATATTCTAAAAAATCTGATTTGATTCATATAACAAACCAGCAAGCAGGGACCTCTCTATGTTCAGGAACAGATGTACCATGCTTTCTTTTGCTGATTAAAGTTTTTGAAAGCTCACATTCAAGACTCAAACGGTCACAGTAACTTTTTTGTTGATTGTAAGGTCCCTCTTCTTTTTCATGGTTCTGGGAACTCCTTTATTGATATTTTCAATCAACGTACATATAGCAGGCAGGAAAAAAATTTCAAGTATTTGCGCAAGTTCACCATTCCTAGAAAAGCAATCGTTTCCCTCCCCTTGTCTCCTGTTCTCTCTAGTGCTTTTCATTTTAGTTCAATTAACTTCAAAAGCAGGCAAGCTTATGAAGAGATTGTGAGGAGGGGGAGACATAGAGGGTTTGAGATTTCTCTTTCTACTTTCTGAAGATGTATGAAGAGGGCAAACCCAGATGTGGCCATGTGTGGTTTGATAACAAGAAGAGGAAAAGGAAGCTGGGATAATTCTACTTTTGCTTTGTCCCTAAATGGGCAAGATTACATGATAAAAAGAGATGCACTGCACTGGAAAAATAATAATGCATCCTATAGCCCTCCTTGCACATAAGCAATGACCCCATATGTACAAGGATAGTCACTGTAGCATGACCTATAATAGCAAAGCATTGAGAATAATATTCATAAATAAGAGGTTGGTTAAAATAAATTAGGTACATTCATAAAATAAAATACTCTGCCATAAGCACAGATATGGAAAGATACCCAAGACATGTTATTAAGTGAAAAGAACAAGGTGAAGAACAGTGAGGATAATATACTCCAAGGGGAGGAACTGGGTAGCAGAGAAGGCAGGATGACTTGCTTTTCCTTCTATATCTCTTTGTACCTTTCTATACCATGGTATGTATTACATGTAAAAAACCAAATAAAATATTATATTTATCCTAAGAAGAAGAAGATAGAGTAATAAAGGACTTGTTTCAGGTACCCCAGGTATTATGGATGGAATTGTGTCTCCTCCCAAAATATGAATTGAAGTCCTGGCTACTATCCTTGAGGATGTGATCCTGTTTGGAAGCAGAGTTTTTCCTTTGTTATGTTAATGAGGCCACACCAGAGTGGGGTAGATTATAAATTTAATCACTTCTGAGTTATAAAAAAAGTAGAGTACATATAGAGACAGAGAGAGGGACAAGACAGATGCCATGTGAAGACTGTCTACTAACAAAGGAGTACCAAAGATTGCTGGCAGTCACCAGAAACTAAGAAGAAGACTCAGAGGAGTTAACACAGCTGTGAGCCCAATTTGGACTTTTAGTCTTCTGAACTATGAGAAAATAAATTTCTGTTCTTCAAAGTCATCCACTTATGGTGTTTCTGCTATAGCAGCACTAGGTAACTAAGACATCATGCTGCATCTTTATACTGATCTCCTATCTCAGGACTGATCTCCTCCAAAGGACTGAAGTTGTCAGGGATTTCATATTACTTGGGTCCACAGTTAATATCCATGGAAGCAGCAGTCAGGAAATCAGACATCATATTACACTGGGCAAATCTACTGCAAAAGACCTCTTTAAAGTGTTGAAGAGCAGAGATGTCACTTTGAAAACTAAGGTATGCCTAACCCAAGCCATGGTATTTGCAATAGCCTCCTATGCATGCACGTGAAAGCTGAACAATGAATAAGAAAGACCGAAGAAGAGTTGATGTCTTTGAACTGTGGTGCTGACAAAGA